AAGGATCCATTCTGTCCTACCCTGAGCGCTGTAAGCCCGAGGGTGGCCTGATGGTCACTGTAGCCAGGGAGAAGCTGGAAATAGCTGGTGGACCCGCAGCAGGCCCGCAGGAACGCACATTCCTGGCGGGAAAGGGCCGGTGGTCCCCTGGGTAGGAGACTGCTTCATGGGCAGGGATGGCGGAGAAGATAGATTTGGAAAGAGGAAGGAGAAAACTCCCCAGGATTAACGTTCCCTCTGTAACTAATAAGAGGTCTGAGTGAACATGCAAAAGCATTTTAAAGGAAATCTTTGGTGGAGGAAGCCTCACTTTTTCAGGATGGAAAGGATGGTGCCAGCAGCAAGCACAGATGGCTGTATTCGGTGTTTGTGACTGCAGAGCTAAAAGGCAGGGTTTGATTTTTGAGCTGAGTAGATTATAGTTTTCACATTGCCAGCTTTTGGGAGAAGCGGCTGCTTTGTTAGAAAACGCGACTGCCAAGGAAGAAATTGCCCAACCGTTTGTTTTCGGGGGTAGGACGGATGCAGTCTTCACCCAGAATACATTTGTGATTTAGCACTGGGTGTTGGAGGCAGAAGCAGGGTATTTGTTCTCTTTGAAGTGTCAACACCTCATATGGAACTTCCATTTCTCTAGAGAAGGGACCTACCTGGTCCTGAGAGAAGAGTGTGGTGTTTTCTCTTTCACATTGAAAGGTTTGTTTAAAATGAATGGCCAGTGGGGAACTGCAGTATCAAAAATAGTCCATTATCAATAAATAAAATAAATAAAATTGAAATAAAATACTCGATTAGCTCATGGGACAAGTAGAGAGCAGAGAAAGGAAGATAGCATCAAGGCCTAGCCAGAAACGAAGAGGCTGCTGATGCATAATAACTTATCCCAAAGCAACTTATCTTGGATATAATTTTGGTTTTAACTGTCATAACGTTGCTGTTTTGATATAATACTTATTTTTTAAAAAAGATTTTCAAAAAAAATGTTATGTGTGTTCTGCCTGCATGTATGTGTGTGTACCAGAGGCATTCCTGCTGCCTCCTGAGGTCAGAAGTGGGGCAGTCATCCCTTAGAACTGGAGTTACAGATAGGGGCCAATCCACCACACACGAGTACTGGGATCTGAGCTCCAGTCTCCTGCAAGAGCAACAAGTGCACGCTCTTAACCACCAAGTCATCTCTCCAGTCCCAAGATACAGTGTCTTCTTACATTCAGTTGTTTACAGCAGTTCTATTTTAACTGAAGCACAGAATACCGAACCCCCCAACACACACACACACACACACACACACACACACACACACACTCACACACATTTATCTAGTGTTTAATCTAATCTGAAATTCTGTAAGTGGGTTTAACACATTTTTTATTTGAATTTATCCAGATTAGTTGGACATGCCCATTACGGTACCCTGTCTGGCTTTTGGGTATCATTGACATTTAAGCTGCAAACTTTAGTATACTCTGGTGTGGTTCTCTCCCTAGAAGGTTGGAAGAGGTGCAAGACTTAAGCTTTACTAAATCATTTTGGATAATAACATAGTTTCTCCAAAAGTTGAATTTTTATTAAGTACTGTTGTGCTTCGGAAAAAACTTGTTAACTTGGTAGATCATATTCAACCTCAAGTTTAGAGAAAATACTTTTATCCCTAAGCAAATGCTTCAGAAGATGCTTTACTTTTCCTCTGGGGGGTTGGTGATATACTTCCCCAGCTCCAGTTCTACTCCGTCATGGTGAAGGTAGAATCTCATTTCATAACACGCCTTTATCCTGTTTATATCTATGTATCATCCAAGGAAAGTATACTTGCCTGATGCAGCTTGCTGTGTGATAGAAACGGCTGAATGGTAAAGAGCCGCATGGTACTATCTCCTGGGTAAGGTCAACTAGAGACTCTAACAAGATGCTCTTAAATGAGCTCACCCAACAGATGCTTTTAGAATTACAATTCAGCAGGCTGTTTGGCAACATGTCCTTTGGGGATTGTGGAAAATGATTGTATTTTAATAAAAGTTCTATAAACATTGATTTGTTTTTATTAGCAGGATTCTTGCCTTATTGTGAATTAGAGGAAAGTGGAGGTAAAGGCATTAACTGGGGCTGGGCCTAAGAGCTGTAGAGGATTTATGCTTCTTGAATTCCTGTGATATTGAGGAGTGAACACCAGACAATCAAATCAGATGACAAATGTCCTCTGTCATGTGTCTTTAACCCTGAATAGTTTACTAGGAAGTCCGTCCTTTGCCTTCCTGTTGTATATACAGCTGAGGTAACAGTTCCCAGCTCTGTCTCCCCTCCTAGAGCTGTATCATGTAGGAAACATGTTATTGGTTAGTCTAGGAACTCTTTTTCAGTTGCATGACTCCTTTGGGTCATGAGGGAAAAAAAAGACAAGTAAATCTCTGGAGACATTAATAATGCTTTGAGGTATGACTTCCATGGATCTAGCTAGAACAAATATTTCCAAACTGATACCTCTTTGGTAAATATAGTCAGTCCTTTGGGTGTGTAGGCTCTATTCATAGATTCTGCCAACCATGGAATAGAAGTATTTAGAAAAAATTATGTGTCCTAAAAATGTACACATTGTAAGTGTTGCAGCTCTGAGGGGAAAGGACTCCTCAGTGCATGTGTTGCAGCTCTGAGGGGAAAAGGTAACCTGGCATCCAGGAGCCAAGGAATACCACAAAGTCACACCACACAATAAACTTCACACCAGAGTTATATTGGGAAAGACACATGAGGGTGGCTGCCTGCTCAGGCAAAAAGGAACAAAGAACTAAGCAGGAAGCAGGCTTTATGTAGGGCAATGATTCTCAGCCAGTGGTTCGACCCTTGGGGTTGAACAACCCTTTCACAGGGGCTACCTAAAACCATTGAGAAACACAGATATTTACATTATAATTCATAACAGTAGCAAAATTACACTTATGAAGTAGCAATGAAAATGATTTTATTTTCATTGGGGGTCATCACAACATACTAAAGGGGGAACTATACCAAAGGGTCACATTAAGAAAGTGGAGAACCACTGATTGAAGGGTTCTTGGTAGTGGCACTTTCCGGGGTGGGGATTCCCAGGGTGGGGATTGGTGGGATTTCAAGTCCTAAGCTTGGGGTGAGCACAGGGATTAGTGGGTTTTCAAGATGAGGAATTGGTAGGATTTGAAGCCCCAGATTTGAGCTCTGGGTTTTTACTCTGTAGGCCAAAAAGAATCAAGTAGCCAAGATAGAAACATATGGCCTGCAAAGAAAATATTTACTATCTTATCTTTTGTGGAAAACAAAATTTTTGTCCGTTCTTTGGATAAAACATAGGATTCTGGAAAATGTCCAAGCTGTGCCCTTTGAATGCACTCTTGTGAGTTAGAATAAAGATATCCCATTGTCTTTAAAGCATTTCATTAGTCTGCAACCACCTGATCCACTATGACAGTGGAGCTTCAAACATATCTGGACTATATTTGGCTACTGACTTAGTTGTAGACTTTTGGTTTTATTGTGTGTGTGTGTGTGTGTGTGTGTGAGAGAGAGAGAGAGCTAGAGAGAGAGAGAGAGAGAGAGAGAGAGAGAGAGAGAGAGAGAGAGAGAGACTTTCTTGTTTGCTCTTTTTTGTTTGTTTTTAAAGTCAGGGTTTCTCTGTGTAGCCCTGGATGTCCTGGAACTAGCTTGGTAGACCAGGCTAGCCTCAAACTCATAAAGAGCCACCTACCTTTGTCTCCTAAGTGCTGGGATTAAAGGTGTGCAACACCACCATCAGACCTTTTTTTTTTTTTTTGAAAAGTTAAGAGTCATAATTATTGGTTTTGTAATTGAAGCATTGATTGGCCATTTTTTAAAACATTTTTTATTAATTTATTTTTTACATTCCAATTCCAGTTCACTTTCCCTTCTCTACTCCTACTTCCCCCCTCCCCCACCTCCCATCTGCTCCTTGGAGAGGGTAAGGCTTCCCTCCCCTAGGAAGTCTAACCCATCATCTTGATGAGTCAGGACCGAGGGACCTCTCCACACCCCACACCCCTGTGTCTTGGTTGAGCAAGTTATCTCTCCATATAGAATGGGCTCTACTAAGTCAGTTTTTGCATTAGACTTAGATCTTGGACCCACTGCCAGTGGCCTCATATATTGTCCCAGTCACACCATTGTCACCTATGTTAAGGGAGTCTAGTTCGGTCTTGTGCAGGTTCCCCATTTCTGAGTCAGTGATCTTTCACAGCTTGGGTCAGCTGATTCTGTGGGTTTCTCCATCATGGTCTTGACTCCTTTGTTCATATTATTGATCCTCCCTCACTTTGATTGTACTCCAGGAGCTTGTCCCATTGATTAGTTGTGGATTTCTGCATCTGCTTCCATCTGTTTCTGGAAGAGGGTTCTGGCTTCTCTGGGGTTGTAGATTGTAGGCTGGGTATCTTTTGCTTTATGACTGGTATTGACTTATGAGTGAGTACATACTATATTTGTCTTTCTGGGTCTGGGTTACCTCACTCAAGATGGTATTATTTTTTCTAGTTCTGTCCATTTGCCTGCAAATTTTAGATGTCATTGTTTCTTATCACTGAGCAGCACTCCATTGTGTAAATGTACCACATTTTCTTTATCCATTCTTTAGTTGAGGGGCATCTAGGTTGTTTCCAAGATCTGGCTATTAGGAATAATGTTGCTATGAACATAGGTGAGCAAATGTCCTTGTGGTGAGAATGTGCCTCCTTTGGGTATATGCCCAAAAGTGGTA